AGGCCAGGAGCCCCTAGCGTCCTTGCTCCTAGTGAGAGGGAGTGATGTGTCATGACATGACATGGTCAGCACACAGGGCGCAATCAGAGAATTTGCAGAATGTTTCAGCATGGCCAGGAGCCCAACCTGCTGTTTGCTGGCTGACCCAGACAAGGGAGAAGCTATTGCAGCGGCATACATATTCAGTGAGCTCATGAGCGTGGAGTTTGCCAGGACCAAAAACAATTGGAAAGGGAGGTGCACCCGGGAAGATTACTATGTTCCAGTTGTTTTCAGGTTCCAGGGTGTAATTGATTTACGTTTCTGCACTATGTTTGGTCGTTTCTTTCCGGAGGAATGACGGGGTATTTGATCGGCTGTTTTGTTTGCTGCCACTTTGTGTCCCCAGTTTGCCACTGCTGCCTTGTCTCCTTACATGAGCTAGGCTCAAAATTAGTGAAGTGACGAATAGTATAGTCAGTGAATGGTCGTGGGATTTCAATATGGAACCAGTCACCATAAACTTGCAAACGATAACATGGAAGACGATATACACACCAAATCCTGATGACCTGCAACTCAACACGTTTTCACCGTCGCTCACATGTCTCCCTGCTTGCTGCTTGCTTGGGGTTTGTCTCCTGTATTTGACGCTGACTTGTCTCCCCATTTGTCTCCCCACTTGTTTGCCTGTTTGGTTGGCGTTTGGCCTACCGCTGTCTGTGCGGCGTTTTGTGTAGCGATGCCAGGAGCCCCTAGTAACTTCTTGTTACTAGTAGTGAGAATGCTCCCAGTAGTACGGCCAGGAGCCCCTAGCAGCGTCCTTGCTCCTAGTAGCGCTGCCAGGAGCCACTAGTGTAGCGTTCTTTTCTTTTCACTTGCCTCCCGACTTTGTCTTCACTTCTCTCTTCAGTTTTCCCGCTTGTCTGCTTGCGAGTCGCGCGGAAAGCTGTTGTTGGACCCACTCACGGTCACTGGAAGCTCTCATGGATTTGTTTGGGGTGATCTACTTGAGTAATTACTTGTTTTTTTGTCTCAGGCGCTTCTGCTCCCCCTGTAATAGGTTTGCTTTAATTGCATTTTTAAACATATAAGCATTTGTTTGCTTACTGTTCACTATTCAATGTTGGACTTTGATCTAAAGAAAGCCGGCGCCAGGCCAACTGGAGAACACCACCTAGTAGTAAGTTATGGTTTGGTGCCCTTTAGCTTTAATTAGATAAGTATGCCGCTAAAATTGACCTAATTGGTATAACATGTGAACCAAATTTGTTTCAGATTAGAATTGCATGAGCTAAATTGAAATTAACGTATCTATTTAGACATTTTCGATATTGAAATCGAACTCAATTAGTTTGAGTTTGAGTAAATATAAATAATATTGCAATTGATCAGGATTAATCTAAGTTCGATATTTGATGTTAAAGTTTAATCTAAATTGTGCCGGCGAAAGAACACCTGGAGAACACCACTTATTCGTAAGTTCTGCCTGGTGTTCTTTGTTTGTTTGCCTTCTCCATGCCGTTTGGCTGATCACCACCTAACTTCTTGACATCAAGGCAGCAGAGGAAACACTTTGAGTCCTTGGTAAGTCGTTTGAGACCCTTTTTCTTGTCCAGGCTCATGTTAGCGATTGCCTTCATCCTACTAGCAATGGCCTCCAACTAGTTAAGTTTCCCAAAAATCTAGGAACCAAATCATTAGTGCGAGCGCTTCTCCAAGGGAGTCTATTGAAGAAGCGTGTGCTATCCTGCATCCTAAGTAGTAGCTATTTAAGCTACTAGCTACTTCTTGCCTCTACTAGCTACTTCCTACCTCCTAGCAGCCTACCCCCCTTTTAAACAATGAGTTGGAATTGCGCAAAGTGTCATGTTCCGTCCGGGCAAGCGCCTCAAACGATTGAATTCATGTAGAGGCGCTGAAAATCGTGCCCTTTAGGAACATGGCCTTCTGCCAGACAAGCGTGCTGACACATGGCGATGTGCTACCAGAGAATTCCAACTATGCGGTTCTCGTATGCACAGCAGGACCGGCTTTGCTACGCCGCGTAGCCGCCACAGTGTTGTTGGAATACTATTGGCTAAGGGGTTTGACGCCTTCATAGGTCTGAATGCTGAGGGGTTTGATATTGTCAAGTTTTCTTGATGAAAACTGTACTTTGTTCTGGCTGTGTTGGCAGGTTGCTTGAAGTCCTTTCAACTTGCACAATGGCTCCTGCAGCTAACCCATGAACCAGACTGCAGAGTCTTGCCGGTCTTTGCAGATGATGAGTTCCAAGTTCCAGGATGGGACGGGACGGACCCAAGCGAAGAGGGTTTTGCATGAAGGCGGCGGTTTTGCGGAGAGATTCGGAAGACCTTCATCGCTACTAGGGTCTCCTGGCCATACTACTAGGAGCAAAGAAGCTAGTAGAAACAAATGCATCGCTACTAGGAGCAAGGACGCTACTAGTAGCTTCTTGCTACTAGGAAGACCTTCAT